GGCTCTTTATACTACATCACCTCACACTTCCTGTACTCGCTGTCATAACTTATACAGCCACTAGAGGGTGCCTGACAATAAAACGTAAATTTATTCGGAAATTAAGTTAAAATTAAGTAAAACTAAACTAACTCCTCCCCATATCATTTTTATAATGTGATATTTATTTAATGAAACTATCCAGAAGAAAAACCTTCTCTCTGTTACAATGCTTACAAAAGGTTTTGGATAAATAGTCATTTTTAAACTCCTTTACAGGAGATTCAAGGTTCTGGACAAATATCTGAAGCACAAAATACACATTCTGTCTGATCTGATGTTTCCTGAGCTGGTTCTTACAAAGCAAAGTGATTTCTTTATCCATCTCTGTGTTTCCTTCATCTGCTCTTACACGCGCTCCCTTGTGGGGAGGTGAGGTCACATCCTGGGGTCGGTGAATGTGAGATGAGAAGCTGCTCACCTCAAATACCCCACGCAGAGGAACAGTGAGGGTCACTGACTCCCAGCTCTAAGCACTGTTTGCCAGTGAGGTGAGATACAAAAGGAGAGATCATAAAAACCCACCTGGAATTCATATTTACCTTTCATCGTCTACTTCTCACTCACATTGTATGTGTGAGCTCTCTTAAGGGACGGGGGGGGGAACGCAGAGCTGAGCTGATGCAGCTCCGAGCAGGTGGCTGCTGGGCCGACTCACATAATTCAGTTTTATTTTTTGGACTATTTTCTTGGTGAATTCAGCACAAAACAATCCTCTCAGGCAAAACGATAGCAAAAGTGCAGCAGAGAATTTACAGTGTATTATATATACAGTGTATATATATATATATATATATCATATATATAAAACATTAACTCAAAGGACACTGGTGGTTTATCGCAGTAATGAGAGTGTTTCGATTGAGACATTAAACTAAATGCTAATCACTTGGCAGGAAATACATCTACGACTTATATCTGTTGAACTTTTCAGAGCCAAATATTTCTTATTTGATTTGGAAGTGTTGATTGGGGAGATATAAATATATCCACTGTGAGATGGAACAAACCTGGAATTGACTTCATCTTCAAAGGCTGATTCATCTTTTCACGCAGACAAAAACAAATTACCAAATAATGTAGAACTCACGCTGTAGAAGGTTACTGAGGAAACAGGCGACATTAAAACACATGTTGAGTGATAAATAAAGTATAATAGTTGAAAATCAACCAGTAATAAACAGCAGGGTGCAGCACATTAGGGCTGCGATAAACAATCATGTCCTGTTCATTTATTATATCTTCTGTTTTGAGAACTCAATTCATTTGTTTGTTTAAAAAGCAACAAATGTTTCCCTCCTCATTTCAAAGCTGATGATATTCACTGTTTTTTTCACATGAGACACAAACACAATAAATCCTCTCAGGTCAGAGGCTGCCACTTATTCAACAACAGAGACATTCAGCTGAATAACAAAAGTCATGGCTGACGTCTTTACCATAATTTTTACTAATGTGTATATAAAAGGAAAGTTCAGAATATTATATAAATTCTACAAATTATGGGCCCAAAATGACGTCGCTGTATTTCTTTGCTCTTCTACGGCTGCAGGTTAAGTGAGTTTTGGTCGAAGATAAGAAAGAAACTATTGGAATCTGCAGAGTCGAGGCTTTCATACAGTATATGTGTTGTTAGCATGATGTAGACGGATCATCAGTACCAGCCTTGTGCATGACGTGTTGTTGAAAATCCGAATTGAACTGTTTGGTGTTTGAATTGTGTGTTTTGGTAAAAAATGGTTTATATTTACTTGATGATTTCTACTCAACTTGACTAAATATGTAAATCTGTCAGGTGTTCTTTAGAAAATAAAACAAAAGCCAAGTGGGTCGGACTGTTTTCAAGCATTATGCTTTCATCAGTGACGTAACTCTTTTTTCCAAACGGCAAAGGAGTTCCATGGTTTTGAAACGACATATTTTAAGCGGCACAACTGATGATGATCTCTAATAGTATGTAAGGTCCGTTTTTATTGTTTTCCTATGTGAAATACTTGCACCTTAACCCTCTTCTGTGATACGACCACATCAGTCTTCATCCAGACTCATTCCAAACTTGGAAACAATTTGCAGGGACATGCATTTCCTGATTTTTCAACTCTGATAAAATCCCTGGCATGTTTTACCCAGAAAGACTTGCTCTCCTTCCCTCAGCTGTCCCTGACTCGTGCCCAGGCGATTAAGTGTTCAGACAGCGACAGACATAATTGATGAACAACCACAGACAAGTTGGTTTTATTCTGTCCCGCCTCACTGCAAACTGGAGACATTACCAGGGCACCTTTAAGACTCATCCTGTTACACTTGTACATAGTCGACCAAAACAGTTAAACTGCTCAGGGGCTCCTTCAGTAGAGTCAACTTTGGGAATAAATGTAAAAAGAAAAGAGGATTCAAAGATAAAAACACATTTAAGGTTTTTCTCTATCCGAACATTTTGACTGAACACGTTTATTTAACCTCAATCTGACTTTCAAAACAGATGGTTGATATTTAAGGCAACAGGGACAGAAGTTTTCACACTGACAAGAAAATAATTTTATTTGTCTGTTATTTAGCAGGACTAAAAACAAATGGGTGGATTACCACCAAACTTTTACTTGAAGGATGTTTTGGGTCAGGGAATAACTCAATACATTTTGGTGTGGATCCAGATCTGGGGGTGGATCAAGGAATCTGTTTTTTTCTCTTTGTCTTTAACATTCTGAGAAAAGATGCTTTTTTTAAATGTTCCTGGATTTCTGAGAGAAAATCACTCTTGGATCTTGACGACAAAATAAAGTCAGACATGTTTAGTTTGGTGCAGATCCAAATGAAAGATAAGATCTAGTGAATTTAAATGTGGTTTGAATGATCCTGGTCCCGATATACTGAGTTCATGACAACACCAGAGAGAAACAGGGAATAGACCAAGAATGAATCTGGGTAAAGGACTGCGAGTGCCTTCGCTGTCCAGTACAGACGATCAGAACAAGGTGTATGTATAACCACAGTTCTCTGAATCGTGTATGACCATCACACGTTATATTCAAGACGTGAATCCGACTGAAAACAGCTGAAATGCTCTTAGACAGTGAGAGAGACAGAGGAGCAGTGCAGTAATGGTGTGACGGAGGTGTGAGGGGGCTGGAGTATCAAAGGTCGCAGGGTACCATGGGGGAGGGGTGTTGGGTTTGAATCAATCATTTTCCGCAGCGATGAAAGGGCACGTTCCAAACAGAGTGTTGGGTCTGCACTTCAAAGTTACTCCTCAGAGGGTCCTGCAGCATTGGCAGACCCTTCACATTGCACATGAGTGTGTTAATTATGTGGCATGGTTTTTTTTACGTAACTGAACGCAGCTTCAAAGCCCTTCACATCATTCATAGCCGTTAGCTCCACTGAGGTCACCCAAGGTTTAGGACCTCTGTATCGTTAGGGAGGGGTTAGATAATTATCTTAAAAACAACGCTTCTTCTCCCGATGCTGTTTAATGCCAAGAGTTCACCAGAGTCACTCCTTGTGTGTGTGTGTGTGTGTGGGGGGGG